CAGCACCCGCCGTTCTGGTGCAGGCACTCGTTCGTCTCCATGTCTGCAGAGAAAAGCTCATCAGAAGTTCATCGTCGATTCACCCTTCTTGTCGTCCGAAATGAAGGCCTTGGTGCTCACCATGGCTCAGGCAGACTTGCGGCTCGGTCCCCTCCTTGAAGCTGACGCGCACGGCCTTGAGCACCGCCGTCCTCTCCAGCTTCCCTGCACGCACACACCACACAACATGTCAGTTCTTCCGTCGCCGGAGAAATGAAACAGACGGCGCAGCAACGGCCAACGGGCAAACCCACATCTGTACTGGACGTCGTGTATGACGAGCGTGGGCAGGATGGTGACGTCCCCCGCGCGACTCGCGCCCGATCCGGTCCTCCTGCTCCTTGGACAACACGGCATTGTCAGCATCAGTGTCGGGGTCGCCCATGCACGCCAGCACCTTCTCCAGCGACAGCCCGAGCGAGGCCACCACCTCCTCAGCGCACGCCTTGCTGTACTTCTTCTCCTTCATGGAGCACCGCAGCTTGTAGTCCATGGTGAAGTCCCACCACGCCCACGGCCGCCCGCTCTTGTTGGCCACCCGGTGCACGCATAGCTGCCGCAGGTTCTCCACCACCACCTGCTTCCCCTCGTACCCCTCCCCGAAGTCCTCCTGTGGGTCCGGCATGCAGTACCTGCACGCCCAACCACATCGTCTCAAGCTCTTGCCATGACAGGTACCAGAGAAAGCTTCCTCAACCAGCAATGGCGTGCCAAACTGAGAGTAACAAAATCATTTTTTGGGTGTGCCAAACTGAGATAAGAGAGACTGAGAGGGCATCATCAGCACATGAGACTATGGAGAGAAAGAAAGAGCTTCAACCACACATCGACACATGCCCAGAAGCTATTTGGGCAGTGAGTCGAAGTAGGAGCTCACTATTGGCTTTGAGCCAGCTGGTTGCATGAGTTGAACGACATGGAGGGGCTGCATCGAACTGCTGCATCTCCCGCCGGCTCGAGCCACCTTCTCGTGACACCCTTGCAGCCTAGACAGTTAAGTTCTGTGCAGTTCAATCAGTCGACACAGTAAAGTTCAGTTAAGAAAACTGCAGAAACAAGAGAAGAAATGCATCAGTTTTGTACATAAGAAACACAAAATCCGGCAACCACTAGTCGAGGTCGGCGACATCCGCTGCGGGAATGAGATTGCCGTAGCTAGTGGGAGCTCGGGTGTGAGTAGCCTCGAAGAAAACACCAGCAACCGAGTAGATCCAAACAGGACAGCAGGGGTGATCTTGATTCCTCGTCCAAAAATGGCCAAGTTCTGAGTGCGTGGAAGAAGGACGCGGCGGCAGGGGGAGAAGGTCGTGGTGGCAGGAGCAAGAAGTTCGCGACGGCAGGGGAGCCTGAGTGTGTGGCGTCCCGAGTGGCGGCGCTTGGAGAGGTGGAAGAAGGTCGCTCGTGGTCATCCACAGCACGGCAGCAGCGCATCGGGGAGGTGTCCCGCATTGGCGGCGCGCAACAACGGTCCAGGGAGGAGAGACGGGGCGTCATGGGTTTCGGCCAGGAGCAGGGTGGCAGCGGTGGAGTAGGGAGGATGGCGCTCCGGTGGCCAGGGAGCGGGGCGGCGAGATGCAGGTGCGGCGCCCGGTGGGTCACGCGCATCAGGGTGGATCAGGCTGGAGTCGGAGGAGGAGCGCCGGCGGATTGGGAGGTGGCGCTCCGGCGAGAGGGGCGCCGGCCGTGTGGAAGGAAGTGCGGCGGCGACGCCGGTCAGAGGGAAGAAGCGCGCTGGAGCCAGGGGCGGCGGCGGGAGGTGTCGGGAGATCCGACAGAGGTGATGCGGGAGGTGGGTGGGGTTGGGAATGGGCCAATCGGGCTTTTCTTTTTTTGTGTTTTCGGAGTTCGGGAACGTCTCACCGGGCCTATATAGGGCGCCATGATCAAAATAGTTATTCTGATTCTAGTATTAGAATAGTGTTGTCCTATATATATATAAATATATATAGTGTTACTATTCATCACCCAGGGTGCAGAATAAGTTATTCTTCACCCGAGGTAATCTTACGATCATTTCATAATTAAATTACGTTTCGAATTCAAATAGTTACATTTCTATTGATTAACTACGTAAAATTTAACATAAGAAAATAATAATATAGGTCATAAGACAAGAAAATTTGCAGTTTATGTATATTTTAGACTATATTTTTACGTTTGTAATTTTACATAACATAAAATATTTTTTACGACGATTATATATTTTCTTACGGTCCCTTTTTGCGTCGGAAATAAGACAAAAGTTACGGAACGTAAAATTCTGGTGCATTGATGGTAAAATAGAGGGGGGTGAAGAATAAATATTCCTCACCCAGGGTGACGAATAGCGCGAGGTCACTGCACTTTCTTTATCAAGAGCACTGCATTACAGAGACTAGTGAACTTTGTGTCGTAAAAAACTGTACGCAGTGTTTTTTCGTCACTGTTTTTTCTCTAGTTTTTTAACCATTTATCGGAACGAGGCGTATGATATACTGTTGGAAAGCTATGGATTAGGCGCAACTTCGCCATGTTGAACACTTTTCGCGATTCCTCACGGTTTAAGAGCAGTTTTGAAAATGGTGCGGCCCATGACGAGTGGCAGCGAGCGTTTTTTTGCATTTTTTTTCTAAACCGCTCGCCGGAATGAAGCAAACGATACACCGTTGGATAGATATCATCGAGGCGCATCTTTTTCATTAATATTATTTTCTCTAATTCGTTACGGTTTAAGAGCAGTTTCAAATTTACTAAATCGCGGAATTCTGTTTTTCAAAAAAATTCAAATTTTCGGTACTGTTTTCACTCCAGTTTTCTAACCGTTTGTCAAAACAAGGCGTGTAATATATCGTTGAAAAGCTACGGACGAGGCACAACTTTCATATGTTGAAATGTTTTTAAGATTCCTTACGGTTTTTAGTTAATTTTGAAAATCGTGTGGCTGACGACGAGAGTCAGCAGCCGTTTTTCGCGAAATTTTCACAAACCGCTAGTCGGAATGATTCAAATGATACGTCACTGGAAAGATATCGACGAGACGCAACTTTTTTATTTAGAGCACACTCTATAATTCCATACGGTTTAAGAGCAATTTTGATTTTACCGAAATGCGGCACTCTGTTTTTTCGCGACACTAAAATCGATGAGTGGACCGCATCAGACAGTAAACTGCACTACTTCAGACAGTAAACCGCACTGCTTCAGACTGCAAACCGCACTGCATCAGACAGTCAAGGGCACTATATTTTTTTAAGGGCACTATATTTTTTTAATTCATTTTTGTTTCAAATGTAGTGTACTAAAAAGTCCTTCATATTGAACTTCTTTCAAGATCAAAGTGCACCGCATTTGCATATATTTTTAAATGCATTTTTAGACCAAAGTGCACCGCATTTGCATTTTTTAATTCATTTTTGTTTTAAATGAAGTGTACCGAAAAGTTCTTCGTAGTGGACTTTTTTGCAAGACCAAAGCGCTGCATTTACATGTTCTAAATGCATTTTTCTTCGTAGTGGAATTTTTACAAGACCAAAGCGCACTGCATTTGTATGTTTTAAATGCATTTTTGTTCTAAATGGTGTATAATTCCTCCAAAAATAATAAAAAGTGAACTCCTCTATACATTTTTTTTACAAAGTGAACTCCTTTGTTTTGCAAAGTGCACCGCAAAGGTTTTCTTAATGAGCTGCATCGGTTTTAACAAATTATACACCATGTCCTTACAAATTTGCAAAAAAACATCGGTCGCGGATTTGGTGAACATGGGTGCGCGCACACCCTTTATGAATAGCCAATTCAAAAAATGCTAGCAAAAATCAAAAAAATCTGAATTTATTTTTTTAATATGCATAGTCAACCGGTATACTGCATATGAAGTTTCACGAAGAAATCACATCCGTGATAATTTTGGCAAAAATGACAAAATCAAAGGTAATCGAAGCTATATTAAAAAACACTGTTTAATGAATAGTATGGTCGCATTTGTATTTTCTTCACTAAGAATACCACAGGTATAAATACATCATGAAACTTCACACGTGAATAGAATGATCGTCTAAGGTTCATACGGCAAAATTTCAGAATTTTTTAAATTTCTCTAGTATTTTTTATGAATTTACTATTCATGTGGGTGCGTGCGCACCCATGTTCACCTTTGTATTTTCGAAAAACATCCTCCAAAAATAATAAAAAGTGAACTCCTCTATACATTTTTTTTACAAAGTGAACTCCTTTGTTTTGCAAAGTGCATCGCAAAGGTTTTCTTAGTTTATTTTCTTTTCAGTTTTTTTTCTACACCAGGATTAAAAGTGCACTACATAAAATTAAATAGAATTTCTTGCAACCACAAACTGTACTGCAGCGAGAGGGTTAGTTTTTGGGGGTGACCAAAGTCAACCTGATATTTGAACCGTGTTGTGTGAACCCGAGGAAAAAAAACTTCACACACAAGCCATGAGAACCGTACGCAGTGCCCCAATGGACTGCATCAATTTTTATATATTTTTATATTTTTCTCACACTTTTTTATAATAGCAAATTAAACTTTAAGAATGTTTTATTTACTTCAGTAGTTCCTCGCGAACTACAAGTCCACACCACAGGACTGCATGCGTCGCGCGCATGGGCTGCAATCAAATGGGAGTCCACAAATAGGCCAAAACTTTACAAAGACTACGAAAAATACACGTTTCTAAACACACCATTTTGCACTGCATGTCCACATGGTCTAAACTGCATGCTAAAGTCTCAATAGCACCATGTTTCCCCCGGAACTGCATTCAAATGAGTCACTGCAATTTTCATGCTTTACGTAAAATCCCCAAGCACAAAAAGCCCGGACTGCACTGCATGTGCACATACTTCAAACTACATTATTTGAATAGTCTCATCCCAAACACAAAATGAGTCCCTGTAATTTTTATACACAAAATTCTCAAACAAAAAATGCACCATTTGCACTGCTTGTTCACATGCTCCAAACTTTATGCCTTGATTCGAAGGAAGAGTGGTGGTGCCGCGCACAGGAGATCGCCGTGGGCCGGGAGGAGCTCCTGGATGCGTGGTTCGGGTAGGGGAGCACGGGATCCTCGTCGGGGGAGAGGAATTGAGCCAACTCCAGGAAACTTGGCGCATTTTTTCCATAGTGAACTACAAAACAAATTTTAGTGAGCTTCAGTAAAACATCAAATGAACTTCAACAGTTGTTGTAGCTCGCAGACGCACATCCGGGGACCAGCCATGGAGGTGGAGGTGATGAGGGAGAGGAGAACTTGTGGCACTGTGCCATGCCGCTCGGAAGCCGACCTCACGGCGGCAAGCGACGACCTACAGCCCGCCGAATCTCGCGAGGGGGGGTGCCGACGTGCTGCGTGCACCGAGGTAGTGGACTGCACGGGAGCCCTTGGATCGACCGGGGGCAGAGCCACGGCTGCGGGGGCTTACTCTGCCGCAGCTCGTGCTCCTTCCTCTCCGAGGTTGGGATCACCGTCACGGCCAGCAACCAATGGAGGGGGAGGAAGATGGAGACAGATCCGGGGGTTAACCGTCACGGACAGATCCGAGGTTGGGCTCGCCGTCACGGCCAAATCGCCAGCAGCTGGTCGTCGCAAGAAGACCATCTGGAGGGGAGACATGGTAGCGACGGCCCTCCCCATCGGCTGATCCGGCGCATACTCCGCCGAGGATGTGATTTGGTCGGGGCGGCAGCGGGTACTGCTGTTGGGGGAGGGGGCCGGGGTAAAGCCACTGGGGGAGGGGGGCCGGGGTGCAGCCGCCGCGCCGCCGCCGTCTTTTGGCGAGCAGGGCTTGACTAGATCCCGTCGGGATCCGGTGACCCCCGAAGGCAGAAGGTGAGGGCGCCGGGGGAGGGGTGTCTGGGTGCTGCGCATCGCCACGGGAGGGAGGCCGGGGTGCTGCTCGCTCCTCGCTTTGAGGAGGGGCGTCGGGCAGTGTGGGGTGGGCGCGACCCCGGCGGAAGGAAGGAGGTGGAGAGGATAAGGGAAAGGGAACGAGTGGTGGTGAGGAGGGGTCGTCGGGCATCTTTTTTGTGGCCACGGGCGTAGCGGGTGCCGCCGGCGGAATAAGGTGGAGTCGGATTGGGGTCGTGGTAGTGCGGGAGGTGGGTTGGGGGTGTTATCAGAATAAGCTCCCGTGTTATCATAATAATACTTTAAAAGGTGTTATTATAATATACCCACTATATATATATAGTGTTACTATTCATCACCCAGGGTGCAGAATAAATTATTTTTCACCCGAGGTAATCGTACGATAGCGTCCTAAATAAATTATGTTTATAATATAAATAGTTACATGTATATTGATTAAATATGTAAAATTTGGTATAAAAAAATAAAAAAATAGGTTATAAAACCATAAAAATCATATTTTATGTACGTTTTACACTATGTTCTTACATTCGTAATTTTATGTAATCTTACGTTCTCTTTTTATGTATGAAATAAGACAAAATTTACAAAACGTAAAAATACGTTGCATTGATGTCAAATTAGAGAGGGGGTGAAGAATAACTATTCCTCACCCA